CACACACACACACACACACACACACACACACACACACACCTACCCAACCACACACACCTACCCAACCACACACATACACACACACCTACCCAACCACACACACACACAAACACCTACCCAACCACACACGCCCCCTACCCCCCCCACTCCCCCAGAGGCCTCACCTTAAAGCTGATCTTTATTTTGTACTCCACTCCCTCCTTCAGAACAAACGCCTGCTTCTTGAAGGCTTCCAGGTCTCCTGGAGGAGGGAAAAGGGACCAATCAGATAAAGGCTCCACACAGAGGCCCCTCCTGGACCAATCAGGACTGTTGTGGGTCTATCTGGACCAATCAGGACTGTTGTGGGTCCTGTTGGACCAATCAGGACCGGTGTGGGTCCTTCAGGACCAATCAGGACTGTTGTGGGTCAACCTGGACCAATCAGGACTGTTGTGGGTCAACTGGACCAATCAGGACTGTTGTGGGTCCATCTGGACCAATCAGGACTGTTGTGGGTCCATCTGGACCAATCAGGACTGTTGTGGGTCAACTGGACCAATCAGGACTGTTGTGGGTCTATCTGGACCAATCAGGACTGTTGTGGGTCAACTGGACCAATCAGGAATGGACAGGAAGGTTTTTAGGAAACCCGGATCCAGGTTCAGGGACTGGCAGGGGGGGGAGGCGTGACCTTTGACCTCTCAACTTAGATAAGGGTCCAGATTTGAGGCCTTTAGAGGTCTAACGAGCCCCAAACGTCTGCCTGGTTTTACAGAAAACTCTGAGGTCCGGTGACGCCATTTTGGGTCTGGGGCTGGTTTTTAGCCTCTGGACTCAAAGGGAAACACTAGACGCCTTTCTTTCTCCTAACAGGAAGAGCCGTTTCCCTCTGAGCAGCAGCTAAAATAATCCATCTGCAGTTTCCTGGCGTCTTTTCTGTCTCTGCCAGAGTTCAGCTGAAGAGAGGGGCGTCTAAAGTATCGATACACATCCAAGTCGGCCATTTTGATTAAGTCACCAATAGAAAGATCCCAGGCAAGAAAATCCTAATTGCTTCATGGAAATATAGACAATGTAAAAATAGTTAAATGAATCTTGCAAACTCTGAATTAAACTCTATCCATAATATTATGTTAAAATAGTGGATGTTAAATAGGTTTGTACAATAAGTCCAAAAAGTTTAACCAAAAAATATTTATTTCTTACAATTATGAAGGGTTAGGATTAGGGGGTCATGGTTAGGGTTAGAGTTAGGGATAGAGTCAGGGTTAGGATCAGGTATAGGGTTAGGGTCAGGATTAGGGTCAGGGTTAGGGTTAGGTTTAGGGTCAGGGTTAGGTTTAGGGTCAGGTTTAGGGTTAGGGTCAGGGTTAGGGTTAGGGTCATTAATGTGGGCCACCGGCCACAATAACATCAGATTTTGGGGTCTTTGTTTTTATCCTTGTGGTATCAAAAGTGGTATCAAGTATCGAGTATTTCCTGAGTATCGTATCCAGTTGAACATTTTTAGTTTCGTGACAACCCTATCTGAGGATAAACTTCCCGTGAGGAGAGAAAAGTTTTTCCTTGCCTGTGTCGCCTAGTGCTTGCTCATGGAGGGAATTGTTGGGTTTCTGTAATTAACTTCAGAGTAGGTCTGACCTGCTCTGTTTGGAAAGCTGTGAGACAACTGTTGTTGTGATGTGGCGCTATATAGATAAAATGTAATTAAATTGAAAAGCTGCAGGGAAAAGGGAACCGGGACACCATGTTCTCCACATTTGACGTTAGCTGGATAATGGATCCGTAAAACAGAAAGCAGACTCACCCTGCAGGTCCAGGACCAGCGGGTTAGGGGCAGCTTCACACATCAGAGACATCTGGGTCACCTGCACGTTGGGAACCGTGGGATCTGAGGGGAGAGGACAGGATGGAGATCCAAGGCGGCCATTTTGATTAGGTCACCAATAGGAAGATCCCAGGCAAGAAAATGGTAATTGCTTCATGGTAATATAGACATTAATTTAAAAATAGTGAAATGAATCTTGCAAACACTGAATTGAACTCTATCCATAATATTATGTTAAAATAGTGGATGTTAAATAGGTTTGTACAATAAGTCCAAACAAGTTTAACCAAAAAATATTTATTTCTCACAATTATGAAGGATCAGGGTTAGGTTTAGGGTTAGGGTCATTAATGTGGGCCACCATAACATCAGTAACAGGTCAGTTTGAAACCAAAGACACTAACCTGTCAAAATTCAGTTAAATTTCGGGGTCTTTTTTTATCCTTGTGGTATCTAAAACGGTATCGAGTATCGAATATTTTCGCTATATTGGTATTGGTACCAATATAGACATTAATTTAAAAATAGTGAACTGAATCTCGCCAACACTGAATTAAACTCTATCCATAATATTATGTTAACCCTTTACAGCCCGATCCAAGAAAAAAACAAAACGGACAATGACTTTTTTTTGCTTTGAATTCCTTATTTGGCCTTTTAACAAAATATGTAAAAAGAAAAAACAGAAATACTTTTTTAATATGAATAATTGATTACTATGTGATAAGTCCAGATTATTTTTTGTGTAGTCTTCTGCCCCCTGTTATCAGGTGTATCTGATTGTGTACAATAGGATTTTGAGCAAATTTTTTACCATTAAATTATGCAAAAGGAGTCAGACGCAAAACATTTCAGAAACCATATCAAATATGATACTATTGGCATTATAGGGTTAAAATAGTGGATGTTAAATAGGTTTGTACTGATTTAGTGTGTACTAAAACCTGTTTTTCTCCTTTTTAGAAAGGTGAAATAAAACCCTGATTTACTGGTGATTAACGCTGTTAGGAGTGTAGGTGGTAAAAATAAAAGATAAACAGCAGGAATAAAATGGACCCAGGTGGATGGAGGAGGTGAGATATGTCGGCTGAGGCCTTCACAGGTCAGAAATGGAGATTTGTTCAGTCTAGGCCAGGAGAAAAACAAAAAAAAGATCCAGACTCCAGATCCAGTTTTTTTTAAAGTCCGATCCTACATTAGCATTAGCGTTAGCATTAGCATCTGTAACCACAGGTCTGTGTCCTAACCATTAAGTTGTTATCAGAGTAAATCCCTGTTCAACATGAGTCTGACAACTAAGTAAGTAGATAAATAACTTTAGACTTTAACACATGCTCTGATCAGAAGTTAAAATAGCTGGATGGGGACTTTCCTAGAAGGAGGCTCTAGGGGGGTGAATGTAGGACATTAAGGCGTTAATTAGACTTTGATTCACTCACAGACATGATGAGACAGAAAACTGGTCCGCCACTTTTTACTATTATCATTTTACAGGGGATGCCCTTTTGGAAATACAGAGAAAAGCTCTGGATCTAAAAAATTGGATTAAATGAGAGAGGGCCCCTTTTTAGATAATCATGATTTCTTGATTCTTTTAAGCAGAAACTGGTTATATTATTTTATTGTTTTATTTTTTGTTATATTTATACTTACTTTTACTAATTTCTTTACTTATTCTACTTAGTTTTACACTGTTTTATTGTTTATCAGCCTTCTGGACCCCTTTAGGGGGTTTTAAGGTCCTTTTTATATGGGTTTTATCCCTGGGTTTCCATTTTTATCTTCTTTTTTGTTCATTTATCTTTATTTTCAGTTCCAATTTTTCTTTTTAACATTTAATGTTTGACGCTTGACAGACCCCCCACCCCTGGAGCTCCTACTTTTTAATCTGGCTTTTAATGGCAAATCACGGCAGGAGGCACTAACAAGGCTTTTATTTTGAAACAGGAAGCCAAAAAGAGGGAAAACCAGATACTACAAACTCAGACTGAGTCAGTTAAGCCTTCAATCATCCACCCAGCTGCTTCTACTCAAACTAAAGCAACTGGAGACACATTAGAGCAGTGTTTTTCAACCACTAGTGTGCCGTTAGTGATGGTCAGGTGTGCCGTAGAAAATCGTCCTATTTAATCTAATTGGTCTAAAAAGATTTTTTGAAAAGGAATTAATTATCTGCAAATAATATTCCATTTTTGAGTGTGTGTGCTGTTCTAGTGACTGGTGGAGTAATCATGTAATAATTCCTTATGACTAGATTTCGTATATAATTTTGTATATTGAAGTGGACATGTTAAGTGCAATTTGAAAGAAGAAATATAAAAAATATAATAAAAATACAATTTTGTGTTTATTTGATTCCTATTCAAGACACTTAAGATAAGAATAAAATAAGAATAACTATAGTATTACTATAGGCAGCTACAGATTTGTTTATCATTTTTGGTTGGTGTGCCTCGTGATTTTTTCAATGAAAAAAGTTACCTTGGCTCAAAAAACACTGCATTAGAGAGCCCACTCTACTGGTGCTTTTATTTTGTAGGTACCTGCCTCGGCGACCCCCGGCCCCAGCAGGGCCTCTTTGTATTTGCGTAGGCTCTCGTCGTCCTTGTCCAGCTCCTGGATCTCCCTAACGGACTTCTGGGCGGGGGGGCGGTAGTTGACGGGCTCCGGCTCCTCGTTTTCGGCGGCGATGGCTGCGAGCTGCTCCGGGGTCACGTCATCCTCAGCCATGTCTGGGGGGGGGCAGGAAATGACATCATCAGGAAAGGAGACATAGCCCAGGGGAGAGGAGCCCTCTAAAGCTCCTCTGGACTCCTAAAAGTCACGTGGATAAGTGAGCTTTGGCTTTGTATTTCCAATGGGGTCTTTAATTAATTAATTAGTTAAAGGCAAACGGGATTAAGTGAAAGAACAAAGCGGCGTCTGTTCTCAGAATGATCCAGAAAAAAAGACAGGAAGCCTCAAAACTAAATGTTTGAACCAGGCTGGTCCTGATCCGATATCTAGATCCGATCGGCCGCCGATATTTGCAAAAATATTTTAGAAAATGCAGATCCAGACTCCAGATCCAGTTTTTTTTCAAAGTCCCACCCACTCGAGCATTAGCATTAGCATTAGCATCTGTAACCCACAGGTCTGTGTCCTAACCATTAAGTTGTTATCAGAGTAAATCCCTGTTCAACATGAGTCTGACAACTAAGTAAGTAGATAAATAACTTTAGACTTCAACACAGGCTCTGATAGGCCGGGATCAGATCAAAAAGCTGGATGGGAACATCCCTAGTTTGAAGGAACCCCAACAAAAAAGGCTCCATTTGTGCCGTTTTTTGAGGTTTTTCAACCAGAGATGTGACCCTCTTTGTTCAATAGTGCATAAATAGCTATAACAGCTTACATTTGGGATGGGATTTGATTTTTGTCCTTGGCTTTAAAAGGTTTCGTTGATTTTTTAAAGAGGTAAAAAACCCTAAATCACCTATTAGCATTAGCATTAGCATCTGTAACCCACAGGTCTGTGTCCTAACCATTAAGTTGCTATCAGAGTAAATCCCTGTTCAACATGAGTCTGACAACTAAGTAGATAAATAACTTTAGACTTTAACACAGGCTCTGATAGGCCAGGATCAGAACAGATCAGAAGGGAAAGAAGCTGGATCGCTAGTTTGAACATTTGGAACTGCTGCCAGGAAAGAAAAGGGCTGTTCTCCATCTCCGAAGTGTTTCCTTAGAAGAAAAGCAGCAAAGAACAAAAGCAGGAAGCGTTGAGACTGAGTCTGGACATTCATGAAGGCCGGAATACAAGCATCTGATTGGCTCTCAGGGGGGCTCAGGTTTGGGCTAAAGTGACTCCAGAGAAGCAAACAAAGCAACAAAGCTGTTTCTTTCTGGACTGTGGATGAAACAGAAGCTGGTGGTTAGATCAGTGACTGGAATAGGGATGTTTAAAGTTATTTATCTACTTACTTAGTTGTCAGACTCATGTTGAACAGGGATTTACTCTGATAACAACTTAATGGTTAGGACACAGACCTGTGGGTTACAGATGCTAATGCTAATGTGGGATTGGGCTTTAAAAAAAAAAATGGATCTGGAGTCTGGATCTGCATTTTCTCCAGGACTAGACTGAAATATCTCCATTTTTTACCTGTGAAGGCCTCAGGTGACCCATCCCATTCCCGCTGTTTATCTTTTATTTTTACCATCTACCCTCCTAACAGCGTTAATCAACCGTAAATCAGGGTTTACTCTCTAAAAATGGATTATTTCACCTTTCTAAAAAGGAGAAAAACAGGTTTTAGTACACAATAAATCAGTACAAACCTATTTAACATCCACTATTTTAACATAATATTATGGATAGAGTTGAATTCAGTGTTTGCTAGATTAATTAATTAAATGAATGTCTATATTGCCATGAAGCAATTAGGATTTTCTTGCCGGGGATCTTCCTATTGGTGACCTAATCAAAATGGCCGACTTGGATGTGGGGGAGTCGTATCTCCATCCTGGGCCTCCTGCATGTGGTTTACTGTGGTTTACTCTCTAAAAATGTTTTATTTCACCTTTCTAAAAAGGAGAAAAACAGTTTTAGTACACACTAAATCTCTCAGGCTGCGCTCCGCTTTTAGGGGGAAAATAGGTTTCAGACTCACACTGAGGGTTTATTTTTCCATTCTTTCACTTAATGACACACAACCAACAAATGTTGGACTGTTTGTCAGGCGGCGAGAGGAAAAAATAGCAGAGGAAAGCAGCACATCCAGACTTTTCTACGACATTTGACCTGAATTCTGACACAAATAGTCAGCAGTGGAGGCTCCAATGAGACTTTAATCTGGATTTAGTTACAGACCGAAACTACATTTCCTGACATTTCAGGCTCAAAACACTCTTCATTTGATCTCTAATCTCCACCAAACTCCTCTTACTCAGCAGTGATGTTTTAATAGCTGCTTCATATCAGTTTATTGTACATTATACACAAGAGATTTGAAAGCTCTTTTAAGCGTATTAATCTTTGGCACAGGAAAATGGCCAAGTCATCCCTGAATGACGTGATTATGAATACAGAGGCAGAAATAAGTCATAAAAACACTTTAAACCCGTAAACTAATCCTGACAGATGCCCTAAAAGAAATGTAACAAGCTAAATACAAATATTACCAAACAAACTGGCGCAAACAATACAAATAGAAATAAAAACTTTAGTTTGAAGGGGATTTAAACGGGATCTTTTGAGGGCTAAATGACAAAGATGCAGACGGAAAAGGACACAAATCCATTTAGAGGAGCAGCGTGATTTAACTCGTGTCTAGCTGATGTTAATTCTGACTTTATGTGCATACCTCCACATCAGTCCTCCATCCAACCTGCCCAAACTAGCAGCCGAGGGAGGAATGTGTATGAAACAAGCCCCCCTACAGCCTGTCCTCCCCTTTACTCCCAAACCAACACTCACTCTTTTCTCCAGCATAACCAAAAAAAATGTGATTAATTCGGGGTTATTACGAGATCTTAAATTCCATGGATTGAAGGATTTCCTGTCATAAGAAGAATTTTGTAATAAAAAGTAATATAGGAATTGCAGTGAAAAAAATGCTCTCAAAACCAAAATTGAGGATTCCTTTTCCACTGTTTTGCATAAATACATTTTGAATCTTTCTGGGTGCAATACTCAGACGGGGCTGTTGGGTGATGGAGATGAAGATGAGGGATTATGTAACCACAGCTTCCTCCTTCCTCTAAATTTAATTGGATCGGCTGTCTGCTGTTTCTCCGCGATGCCATTTCAAACTCACCCCTCACAGGAGGCACCATCTCCTCTCTGGTCTCTGCTCTGCTCTCCTCTGGCTTTGGCACAGCTTTAACAACCTAATGCAGGTTCGGGAAAGGTCAGAAAGAGGCCGGCCAGTGTCTAAAACGAGGATTTAACATAATCCTGAGAGACAGAGGCACCACACCCAGCTGCAGGAGCACAGCTGGACACATGTGGACACTTCTAACTCACCTCCAGGACTCAGTTCAGCTCACCTGGGCCCTGTCTGGGTTTTCTGTGTTTATATGTTTTAGTGTCAAACAAAAGCAACGGAAAACAGCCCCCATCTGGTGAAAGACTAAATTAAATCAGGTCTTTGTTGTTAGTGTTTCATAGCGTTTCAGGTTCAGGGATGAAAACTGATGCTGAATTCTGTGACTCGCTCAGATATTTGGTCAGTTTTAGGGGTGTTGGACACACCTATTTACTCGGTTTATCCTCAAAAGGACACCGTTTAATGTTGGATATTAATATAAGGTCACAAGATTTGGATATGAGTCATTCCCCAGTGACTTATTTAATGACAAATGAGCAGCAGATTTAGTAATAGCGGTCAGATCTGGGTTTTAGGTCAAAGAAAAAAAAGCATATTTGTCCTGACATAAACCAAATTAAGCCCAAATCTTCATCATTTTGACACACAGTCACACCAACTTCAAAGACATAAAAAAGTAAACTAACCAAGGACTGCACAAAAGAGATAAAACGGCTCAGAGGTTCAAGTTATTCCTGATTTCTAACTACTGTTAAAGGCATCAATCTTCAGGCTAACAATCCCGACTGGATTCTTTCCAGAAAACCGGCTAACATGGCGCTTTTGACAGCTCATCCCGACAGGAAAAACTCCCAATAAACCGACATTCACGGGAAGATTAATTCAGACACCAAAATGCGGCTGAACTTTCTGGGCGTTAGCCGCCTGACTCGCCGGGGAAAGACAGGCGGCTAACGGGTTGACTGGGAACAATTCCTAACGGAAGCTAACGGCTGCTAACGGGAGTCTGCGGCTAACGCTAGCGTGACGGTTGATCCGCCAACTGACAGAGCGCGAGCGCGTTGGAGCGCGTTCGGTGGAGGATTAGCCCCGGGGCAGAGGCACCGGATGTCGGCGGGGCTTTGCGGGGATTGGCGGGGCTCACCTGGGCTTTTCGGCGGGGATTACAGGTGCCTGTGCGGTAAGTGCGTGCGGTGCTCCAGGCTCCCGGGCAAGAATGGCGAACAAGGGAACGGCGCCGCCCCGGCCGCACGCGCAAGACGTTCCCCGGCACAAGTACGTTATTTGCGCACTACGCAAATAACGTAACGCCCCCGGTCTGCGTTAGTTACGGTAGAAACACGTCAAAAACACAATGGATTTCACCCAAATGTTTCCCCTTTGTGTTCAATATTACGGCACAGCCTCACATCAGAGTATGAACGATTTAAAATCCAACTAATTATATATTTGGTATATTTTAAGAAGTGTAATAAAGTTGATTAACAATTACACCAAAAGTAGGAGCAAATTATTACTCTGATATAGTGCTTTCTTGGTCCAAAACATCAAATAAAAAACAAATAAATGACTATTTGAAACAGGGTCTTCTATTATAGACAGAAAATGATCAATGATAACTGATCCAATAATTAAAAGTATGAAACAACCATGTCCTAGAAATGATAAAATGCTAAATCTGTTGAAAGGTGACAAATTCAGCTCCTTGTTCTTATTTAATGTATAAATATAGAAAAAAAAACTCATCCCATACCATGATTTAGCAATATGTATGACCCCATTATTTCGATAGTAAACTAAGTAATGGTTACTGGATGATTCCTGGATTTAGCTGTGGTACAGACTCCTGTCTAACTCTGAACACTCTGGGGTCCAGAGGAGTTCCTGCTGGACTCCCGGGCAGCCCAAACCACCATCCCTCCCCCGCCGTGCCCACAGCTGCTGTCAGGGGTCAGCACACCTGTTCGGCCTGTTTTCTGACCCTGCTGTCCTTACCTTTGACCTGCGTTTTCCAGCTATAGAGAATCTTTCTCTCCGCAGACTAACGGACTCCAGACAGACTGAGATGACCTTTGACCCCTCAGGCTGCTTCTCTCAGGTCGTTCTGGTGTCTTTCCTCCTGGATATTCATGATATTCAGTTCTCTGACTTTGTAAGGAACAGGTGATTTAAGTAAATTCCTAACAGCACAGAATGACTACTGGACTTATCTTCTCTTTTACAGACAGAAAATAATTATCTTATAATCTGAGGTCTTTTCTATTTATAAAAACATGTTTTCTGTTCAATGCCTGGTGATGTAATCATTAACTAAACCCACAATGTTGTGGAATTACTACGTTTATATGTCTTTCATATATAAAACAAACTCTAAAACAGCTCAGAAAGTGTTTTTTTTTCCATAAATTTGCAAATATCAGACAAAAGGAAATCAGCCAGGTTCAGTTATTTACATTTATGTAGAAAACTCTGAACAAGTTCACATTACAAGTCCTCAGTATCAAGTGACAGAAGGTCCTCACATCATCATCTAACACTGGAAAAACAACCTGTTTGAGAGTAAAGTCCACATCATTTAAAAGAAAAAATATATCCAATCACATTGCAAGTTTAAGGCAATCAACAGTTTATATACAGAGAGGATATTCGTCAATCCACATTAAACCTCCGAAAGCAACGTCTTAAAATACTTAAAAAAAGAAAAAAATATATTGGTCATATAGTAAAACAGCATCGGAACATAATTGCATTCAAGTCTGAGTCGTCGTTTTGAGGTGAGACTAAAAAAAAGAACCGCAAATGCTGGTGGGAATCCCCCCGGATTGAGCCTCTTAGCTGGTGTCCATCTGACACTAGAGGGGATAAAAAAAAAACACAAAAACGATTAACCAAAGTCCTCCGTTTGGTCAGAAACGGGCTGGAGGAGCACAAACCTGAGCGTTGTAGGCGTCCAGTTGAGCGTCCAGCTCCTCGGCGGAGAGCTGGGGTCTGTTCCCGCCCCCCCCCCCGCCGCCCCCCCGCCCCCGGCCCCTGAACCCCCCACCGCCGCCCCCCCGCCGGGGCCTCTCCACCCGGGCCTGGCCCAAACGGCTCCGGTCGAAGCCTCGGTTTGAGCTGAAAGACGGGTCAGAGCACAGAAAAGAGACGGTCAGAGAGAGGAAGGCCGAAGGAGGGACGGGATGAGCATGTATGTTTTGTATGTCTTTTTGTATTGTTTTATGGCTTTGTTGTAAAGCACTTTGAGTACCATTTGGGTATTGTAAAGGGCTATACAAATAAAATTGATTGATTGATTGATTGAAAAAGGGGCGGGGCTTATTTAGTATTTAGGACCATCACAGTTTGTGGAACTACTAACATGTGCAACATTCAGCTAAAAAACAACAACATTTATCTGCTCTAAAAACCTGATTCGGCCCCTTTAAAGTCCTCAAAACCTAAAAGTCTGAGAGCAAACTGATTAAACTTTATGTCTCCAAGTGAAGCTGATGGAGGTTAGTCTGATAAATAAGCCTTAAAATGGAGAAATGACTTTTAAAAAAGTTCCTGTTCCACTAAATGACAGCAGATCTGTTAAAGTCTGGATCCTTTGGTCCTAAAATGGACAGAATTCCTGTAATTTTCAGGAATTTTATCCCTTTGCACCCTTTATAGATCATATAAATGTCAGCATTCCTCATAAATTATTGGTGTTTTATAAATATTTCTAGCAGCTGCTGGTCCTAAAACAGAGAAATAACTCTGTACCAATTAAAAAAAAGTTTCTGGTCCACTAAATGACAGCAGACCTGTTAAAGTCTGGAGGTTTTTAATGCACTTTTGGTCCTAAAATGGACCCTTTGAGCACCCAGACATCAGATTTAATCCCTGAGAGCTCTGAGGCTCCTTTTCTGAGCCCAGATCCTTTTTCCTCTGCTCAGTTTTTAAGATGAACTTTCACAGAGTTCCTATCATTTTCAGGAATTGTGTCCTTCATAGATCAGATAATTGTTGACATTCCTCGTGGATTTATTGGTGTTTTATGGATATGTATAGCAGCCGCTGGCCTTCAGGACACAGATGGAGCTCTTTATCTTTTCCTCTCACAACTGAAGTGTCACTTTCCATAAAAAACAACCGCCACTTCTGAAACAAATTACACATTAACGTGTTGGTCTGTTGCATTCAAAGCAGAAAAAATAAGCATTTAGTGACGTTTTCCTACAAGTTCCAAAAAAAACCTGAGGACTCTGGGCTGTTTCTGGCCTGGGAGGGGGTGGAAATGGAGCCTGACGTCGGGGCGTGAAGCATCTACCCGACTCTGGTCTGATCCTGGAGCTTTTGGAGTTGTGGCCAACATTTCTGGCTGCTCTACACCCCCGATCCCAGTCCAGAGCGAGAGCTCTCACCTCTGAGCGCCCGCCTCCGGGGTCACCTGCTGGATCTTCATGGGGCGGCCTGAGGAGAAAACCAGAGTGAGTCCATTTGTGTAGGGTTTGGTTTTAATTTTAAATCAAAGAAATGTTGATTTTCTGAACCAAAACCCAGAAAATTAGTTGTTTTAATCGAAAACCTAATGGTTTTCTAATTAAATAAAACAAACGACTGAGAGAGGGTTTCCTTAATTGGAAATATGTAAAATAAAATGTCAAAAACTGTCCCGGGGACTCTTTAGGGGGACGCACCCAGAAAA